GACAGCTGGTAGGACAAGTTAGCTCCTTATATAATGACTGTATTCCCAAGAACTCAAAAGAGAGTTCACATGAGAACAAAATTCCAAAGTTCTAAGAGTACACTCCTAAAGACCTCCCATTAGACCCCACCTCTAGGTTCCATGGAACCTCCCAATACTGGCCCCCTGGGAACCAAGCACCAATCACATCTCCTGCAGTCATCTCCTGATTTAGAGAACAAGGAAGTAAACTCTGATGTCACTCAACCTCAGAAAGGCTCTTCCCTTCAGCTTGGTCAACTCTCCATCTCTGGAAGGAGAATAATGGTAAAAGGTAACTGTGAAACCCAAGAACTGTCAGATTTCCTCTTTGACCATTTAAACCTCAGCTTCTTCCAATGTTAAGTGAGAATATTAAAATAAATAGATTTTAAGGAATACTTTCTAAATATTGGGATACTGTAGTATATAAAACATATGTAATTTATAGAGCTTAATGATTGATGAGGAAGACAAATGCAATCCATGCTAAAACAGATATACAAACTGTGAAGTGCCTTGAGTAGGAACAGCAGAACATTTGCATTTTTATATTCTCCTATTTCCTATTCAAGGCAACCAAAACTATGGGAGCTTGTCTAAGAGAACTCATGGTGGATGCATTCATTTATGGATGCCTTTCTGAAGGCCTGGAGGAAGGTGTTTCCACATTCCACATGAGGGCTTCCTGATATGGTAAATCCTCTGGATTCCAAAGTAATGTCTGCCTTTTTAGGGAAGTTGCCATCTGTTCCTAACTAACTTCCACCACTTCTCTTTTGTTCCCTATGTTATTGGCTTTTCTGCCTCTGTTTCTAAAGCTTGTTTATGCTAGATTTTATTTCATCCACAATTTTGACTGCCATCGTGGATATAACTTGGAAATTATTCCTCTTCTTTTCTCTCATACATATGTAATCAACACACAGTGGTGGTAGGTCCCAAACGCTGGTCCAAAGGGTAGAACATGATGGGTTTAAATCCACAGTCTATGAACCAGGGGCTAATCACTCATCCTTTTTTTTTTCTGCTCCAATTACATCCTCTGTAAAATGAGGGAAATAGTAATTCTTATTTTATAGGTTCTTGGTTTAAACACATAGTAAATGCTCAATCAGCTCCTATTAATCACTAAGATAAGAACTGGTCCTCTTTCTCTAGTTGAAATCTGCATGAACAACTCACTTTATATCTCAAAGTCCTATACACTTTCTATTTCCTATAGACTCTTCTCACACAAAAGCATTCACCAACAACAACAACAAAAATACTCTACTAAGGATCTGTTAGGAGAGAGACTGGAGTAGGTTTAGGTTATGCACTCCCCAGCACACAACTCCCTCCATTAGATATTTCTGCACTTCAAAAACATTTCAGTGACAGTCTGACCTAACTCTTAGCACTTCCTCTTCTATACTGCTGAGTTATTCACTCAGACACAAATCTTGCCCACGCACTGCACCAAAATGCTTCTAGGTATTCAGCAAAGCTATGGTGAATTCTCACTCCAAGGCACTTCAGCAATCATCATCAGTTATCTGGTCACACAGAATAATTCTAAATACTCCACAGCTGTCCACAAAAGAATGACGATGAATGAGATTTTCTTCACCTTGTATGTGTGTGTTATGACACCATTTTTGACTTTTCATTTTTATTTTCCATTTAATCCAAGTCATCTAACACTATAAGGCTTCTCATTCATGTGCTCATTCAATGAATAAATATTGAGAACAAATCAGCCATATACAAAGCTAAGCACTAAGGATATTAAAAAGGCACCTATTTACAATGCCTCATACACTGAGGCATTTCAAAGCCCAGCCATCACATCTACCCAACCATGATCTCACATTCCCCTCATGGTCCTAAAGAGGATTACCTGGATAGAACACTATTAGTCACAGGGGTGTCATGATCACCTCTCTGTCTCAATTCTTGTTCCTGAGAGAAAACTTCCAGCCCAGGACAATACAGTGGCTTATACATAGCTCTAGTCCATTGGGTGGGCTATTTGAACTACAGTATATTTCCATGTCATTTAAAGGATGTAAAGTGCAGAAGAGAGAGCTTAATTGTGCAGACAATGAGCATTGGATTTGAATCCATATTGCAGGAATACCCAGCTCCTGAAAGTCTACTTTATCTGTGCAACCCTGTGTTTTCCTTCTCTTTAAAATGGAGACTATAATTCCCACATAGCACAATGATCCTAAGAATCAGAGATCATGTAGTATGTATTTGAGGCTTGTTTATGTTCCCAGGGGTACTGTTGGAGGTTTTGTGAGCCTGGATACAACCACAACAGCCTGAATAGAAGCTACCAGCCCCTTCCTCCAACTTGGGAATTGCTGACCCTCATCATCACCCTCATTGGATTGGCAGGAAACACAGTTGTACCCTGTGCACAGAAACACCTTCTCCATCTACATTCTAAATCTGGCTGCCACTGACTTCCTCTTCCTCTGCTACCACATCATTGGTTCCCTTCAGGCTGTCTTCACCTTCATTCATCCCTCATCTGTCTGTACATCATCTTGAGGATTGTGTCATGTTTTCCCTACATCACAGGTCTAAGCATGCTCAATGCCATTAGCAGTGAGCATTGACTGTCCATCCTAAGGTCCATCCGGTACCACTTCCGTTGCCAGAAACTCATGTCAGCCATCATGTGTGCCCTATTCTGAGCCATGTCCCTGCTCCTGAGCATCCTGAAGTGGTTCTGCTGTTGTATCCTGCTTAGGAATTCTGATGATGGTTGGTGTAGGACAACTAATCCTATCATAACTATGTGATTGATTTTTTTGTTTGTGATTCTCTCAGGTTCCAACCTGGCCCTGCTAATCTATCCTTTGTGGATCCCGACAGATGCTGCTGACCAGGCTCTGTGTGATCATCTTGCTCATAGTTCTGGTCTTCCTCCTCTGCAGCCTGCCCTTTTATAAAAGCTGATTCCTATTTGTCTTGATTCGGAATTATCCTGATGCATTTATTTATCTTTATCTGGTTTCACTTGTTCGGTCCTCTGGTAACAGCTGCACCAACTTCATCATTCATTCCTTCGTTGGCTCCTTTAGGCAGCAGCTAAAAAGGAGACCCTCGAGCTGTTTCAGCAGAGGGCTCTGCAGGACACTCCCAAGGAGGACAATTGTGGAGGCAGCCTTCCTCAGGGAACCCTGGAGATGTCAGGCTGCAGAGCAGAGCAGTAATGAAGAGCCTTTGTTCTGGTCCATCAGATGTGGCTTTGGGAGTCAACAATGCCCATACTAACAGCTGCCTGCTCTTCTCTTGGTCTCATGCCCCCAAAATGCCTCAGTGATTTCCCACTGTGTTCAAATGGATTTATATTAACCTGGATTTTCTTGCTTAACTTAAGAGAAACCAGTTTGAAATAAGAACATCTCTGCCCTACATACATTTCATTAACATTTTCCTGGAAGTGATTTGGGGCCTACCTTGGAAATTACTAGGGAGATTCATAAAAATTTCAGCAACCCACAGACATATTTTTATTCCCAAATTACCCCATGAACATTCAGCCTAAAGATGTGTGAAGATAGATATATTCAATGTCTCTTCCTTCCTTCCTTCCTTGTGAGATTTTTTTTTAAATCTATATATCCCTGCCTGATAGTTTTGGTTCTCATTGTGCCTGAGATGATGGGAAGCCACCTGTGAAATGTGCATGGACCTTTTCAGCATTGAAGCCAGTGAGTGGGAAGGTCTGGTATTTGGGAACTTCTATCGGCAGTCTCACTGTCAAGATGGCCCCATACATGTGAACTCCGTCTCAGTTCTGCCCAAAAAGCTCCCGCGCAGCACCAGAGATGAGTGTGACCTGCCCCCACCTCTCTCCTGCTTTGACAAAGAACTTTCTATTGAATCCCTTTGATCTGTTCCAATATAGATAAACCTGGGGCAGGCTCCTTTCTTTGTTAGAAGCTGCACCCATCTACCTGATCAGCTTGGCCCATCACTGTCCCCACTCTGAAACTATTTTTCCCGTGTCCTGTGGTTATTTCACAGTACTATTTTATTAGCTTTTATTTCTCAGCCAGCCCATCCCTCCAGAGGGGAACCCTTTCCCTAGCCCATGCAGGACGTGAGCCAGATGAGATGTCAGTTTGGGGAGTGGGATGATTAGAATCCAACCAAAGAGGTTTTACTAACCTTCTCTGTGCAGACCTGCTGTCTCTTGCTGTGGATAAATAAATATAATCTTGGTTTGGATAGCTCTAGGATATAAAAATCTAACCTGATAAATAAGAAGAATCACAAATATGAAAGATGACAGATTATTACTATTTTCTGGGATTTGGAGGTTTTACTCATTAAAGACTCAATCATTCAGAGAAAGAGTTAAACTCTTATTATGGTTTAGATCTGAAGTTAGAACCCCAAAATGTCCCCCAAAATCTCCTGTTGAAAGCACAGCCCCCATGTGGAAAGATTTAAAGATGACTTTTAGGCACTGATTGGATCATGGGGTTCTAACTTCCATTGATAGCTAAATGGACAACTAGATGTTGGAACTCTTCTTGGCTCCCAAAATCTGAGCAGTTTTCTTCTGCCGCACTCTCTCACTCTTCCACCATAATGTTCCGCTTCACTCAGACCTAGAGCAATGCAGCTGACTGAACAAAGACTAAAACCTCTGAATCCGTAAACCCAAGGGAGAAAAAAACTTTCCTCCTCTAAGTGTTCTTATAAGGTATTTCAGTCCCATCATGAAACATCGACTAATATGACTATAATGTACTTCACTGATTTCTTCCACCCTTTGTACCCTTTGGGTTCTGTCCTAATTTGATCATTAATATTTGAATAAAGATATTTTAGATTTGGCTGCATCATGATGAATCACTACCAATTTGGCTGGATTGGGTAGAAATTGATAAAACATCGATTTTACCTTTAAAATCCTATTAGCCAAGAGAATCCAACAATATACAAAAGGAATGATACTACAAAATGAGGTTTATTTCAAGAATACAATGAATGTTCTTTAAACTTTCAAAAAACACAGGACTAGCCTAAGTTTGGGGATAAGCAAACACAACAGAGCACCACTCCTGCCTCCACAGATAGCCTAGCACTGACTAGCAAGCAACAGTAGTCCACCCTGGGGTTGACCGTGCTCATGGGGAGAGACGTTCATTGTAGTACAAACATGAAGGTGGGACTGAAGGCTGAAGGAGTAGCAGGAACAGTGAGAAAAATTTACTTACATCTCAGACCCCATCCTAAGCACAACATCAGCCCAAAATTGAGGCTTAGCATTCAGTGAAACTATCAGTACAAACACCATGCAAACTCATCCGACTCTTTTCTAGATCAACTCCCACATACTAATGTCTTGACAGGAAAGGCATGAACCTTTTCATACTTAATAGATTTTATTATCTACCTCATTTACTTCTATTCTGCACAGATGTTCAACAATGAATCAAAAAAAATTATAAGATGAGCACACAGGGGATGTAGGTCTGTTGGTAAAGTGCTGGCCTACTATGCACAGGTCCTGGGTTCAAAGCACAAAACTGCAAAAAATAAAAATTTAAAAAATGACAAAAATAAGCTGGGAATAGTGGTGTGCATCTGCAATCCCAGCTACCCAGAAGGCTAAGTCAAGAGATTATGAGGTCAAGCCAGTATGCATGACACAGTAAGACCTCATTTCAGAAAAAAAAAAATTATGAGACAGAAAAAAGCAAGTAAAAATGTTTCAATATCTATAGAAACAGAGAAAAATGTGATCCAAATGTGCAAAATAACAAACAGCAACTTTGAATATGTTACTAGAACATAGAAGAGTGGTTAATAAAGATTGGGAAGGGTTTAGAAGGGTGGGAAAAGGTGGTTGACTTAATCATTGCATGGTATATGCGTGTATGGAAGTATCAACTGAACCCCATTGATATGTGCAATTAATACACGTTAATAAGAAATTAATTTTTTAAATGCATAGAGGGAGGAGAAAGACATAGTAGATAAGAGGAAGAGAGCAATTTACAGTTGCTCCACAGTTCAAGATTCAATCAGCAAGCATATTGCTTCTCAGAGAGGTGGATGACTGATGGGATTCACTGAAATCAACCCTGGACGGTATAATCTATAATCACATAATCATACTGAATTTCTGTGTTTCTATGATTATGATTATAGAGACAGAAATTCAATAGCTTTGAACACAGAACAAGAAATGATACACTAGAGATGTACTAGCTTTGGTGGCAGCAGCTCTGTCCATTCACTGTGGAACGGAGGGGGAAAATAGGCAGAAAGAGATTAAAAAAAACACACACACTGTGAATAAATTTGTCCCAGGGGAACTTGTAGAATAGAAAGGCAGCTGGTCTTAACTGACCCAGAGACAGCAGGGCAAGCTGATAATTGAAAGATGCTCAGAATCTCTCAGCAGGTGAGTGGAAGAGTTGAGATGGAAACCATCTGCAAGTGGTTGCTCAGCAATTTTCAGGAACTCATAACAGCTTGCCAGCCTGTTCCAGCACATGTCTGTCATGGAGTCCAGAGTTGCCTGGAGCAGTTACCTGAAACAGGCAAAGAAGATTGCTGAAGACTCTGAAGGGAGAGACACTTGTGGTCCCTTTATCTTTGGTGATTCATATGACCAGCTGGAGAAAGGCTATAAACTGGCCAGACAGGCACATCAGTACTCCAAGTCTGATCCTGTGAAATCCACATCCATGGCAGCAGAATAGATGAGCTCTGCAGAAGATCAGATCCCTCACTCTAAGAGTGGAATTTTCCAGAGGTCTCTGAGACCCAGACATCCAACAGAGATTGAAGTCTTCCCAGCAAGAGGGAGTGTGGATCTAATCTCAAATACGTTCTGAAAAGTTCCAAAGGGCAGGCAGAATTAAACTCCAGCTGCTGGAATTCCCCATTTAGAACTCTATATTACTAGGGGATGTGGGGAAAAGAAAGATAGTAGAATGAAACAGACATTATTACTTTATGTATGTATGTGACTGTATAACCAATGTGATTCTATAATATGTATACTCAGAAAAATGAGAAATTATATCCCATCTATGTGTATGATATATCAAAGAATATAAGTGCATTCTATTGTACTAAAACATCACAGGATGATTTCATTTGCCTCTATGTGGGCATTCCTGTGGTGACTGGGAAAATTAGAGTGCTTGGCACTAGGAGATCTGATCCTAGGAGGTCTGACCCTGCCTCTAACTAACATTAGAAGTCATATAGTGATGCTGGCCTTGGCTTCTTCATCTGTTAAATAAAGTTGTTGAAATGTTTAAAAAAAAAAAAGAACTCTGTATTACTAGTCTATCCAGATAAAACTCCAGTTGTCAGTACTCCTCTGTACTGTGAGATGGGAAGAGTTATGGTTTACATATGTGGTGTTAACAAAAAGATCAGGTATGAGAAAATTCAAGAAGGTTTAGCAGTGAAAAGATTGGGTTATGAGAGCTCTGACCAATCAGTAAATTAATCCCAATGGGGATTAACTGAGAGATAACTGAAAGCAGGTTGGGGGTGTCTCTCTCTCTCTCTCTCTCTCTCTCTCTCTCTCTCTCTCTCTCTCTCTCTCT